TGAAAGACCTTGATATATCAATGGATGAACTATCTCAAAGCCGCTTGATGATTCAAGGCTTCAATCAAGGGGGGCAAAGGGCGATTGGAATGATACGTCTTGACTTGACCATCGGCGGGCTGAAGGCAAGCACTTTATGCCATGTCATTGATGCAAAGGCTTCATATAATCCCCTTTTGGGCCGCCCATGGATCCATGAGAATGGTGTAATTCCTTCAACGTGGCATCAATGCTTCATGTATGAGGAAAATGGCGTTGTAAAGAAGGTAGTAGCCGATGAAACTCCATTCACAGAAGCCGAGACATACTTTGCAGACGCAAAGTTTTATCTAAAGGCCAAAGTTTTTAAAGATGACGATGCAAGAAGAGAAGAAGAAGAGTATCGCCCCTTGGCTGAACCAAAGTTGAAAGGGAAGCTCGTTGAAGGCGTAGGAGGGCTTGTATTCCCTCTTGCAAAGATTGAAATATCAAGGCCCCCTCGAAACACATCTAAGGATGAAGTGAAACACGAGAATGATGTTAAGACATTTAAGCTCCCTAAGGCACGCACAAATGAAGGATTTGACCCAAACGCGTACAAACTTCTGGCCAAGGCTGGGTATAATCCCGATGAACAGATTTTGGGAAAACTCATTCCAAAAGCTGGTGGTGAAGGGAAACCGAAGCAGATCAATCTTCGAGGGCACACAGGATTGGGTTATGTTCAGCCGAAACCCATAAGGATCCTCATAAATAGAGCCGCAACGCATCATATCAGTGCTGGTGAAGAAGATGAAGTGACTTCTAAACCGAAGTATTCTGTCTTTGATCGGATTGGGGGGGGGGCAAGATCAAGGCCCGCCATATTTGACAGAATGGGGCCAAATCCAAAGAAGATCATGAAGAAGACTTTAGAAGAAAGGCTTGGAATGATCCCGATGAACGTGAAGAACGTTGAAGATCCATGTAGTGGGCAAAATTTTGCGCGGAAACCAATACATGAAAGGTTGGGGAAGGTTCGCTCATGTAAGAGGTCTTTCAACCAATATGCAAAAGCACAAGCTTCGAATGAATGCAGAAGCTTGATTCCGTCAAGAATGAGACGAGAAACTGATGTGAAAGTCTCATGTGGAGAAACCCTCAAAGCACAACTCAAAACCATAGTTCATACTCAAATGCTTGAAAATAATGAGTTGATATTTGATGAACTAGCCGATGACAAGGAATACATTGCCTCATCTTACCATGTTACTTTTGAAGATGAAATTCCGGCCGAAGGTGAAGATGCTGATGAAGCTCCTCCTGAATTTGAAGACGGAGTGCGAACTGCCTTGGATGAATTACAAGAAGTAAACCTTGGCACCGAAGAAGATCTTCGCCCCAATTATATCAGTGCTCTTCTCTCAAGTGAAGAAAAACAAGAACACTTGGCCTTACTTCGAGAGTACAAGGATGTCTTTGCATGGACATACAAAGAAATGTCGGGGTTAGACCCAAAGGTCGCTGTTCATCACTTAGCGATAAAGAAAGGATGTCGACCAGTAAAGCAGGCTCAAAGGCACTTCCGCCCAGATTTAATCCCATTAATCGAGGCAGAGGTAGATAAACTTATTGATGCTGGGTTCATCCGAGAAGTAAAATATCCTACTTGGATAGCCAACATTGTCCCAGTCAAAAAGAAAAATGGACAGATCCGAATATGTGTTGATTTTCGGGATCTGAACCTTGCTTGCCCAAAAGATGACTTCCCATTGCCTATCATTGAATTGATGATAGATGCTGTGACTGGACATGAAATTATGTCATTTATGGATGGTTTTTTCGGTTATAATCAAATCCGTATGGCTCCCGCGGACGAAGAATTGACTGCGTTCCGAACTCCTAAGGGAATCTATTGCTACACGGTCATGCCGTTCGGACTTAGGAATGCTGGAGCTACTTACCAACGAGCTATGCAAGCAATATTTGAAGATATTCTCCACAAAATCGTGGAGTGCTATGTTGATGATCTCGTGGTGAAGTCAAAGGCCCGAAATGAGCATCTATCTCACTTAAGAATAGTATTTGATCGCTTGAGAAAATTTGGTCTCAAAATGAACCCTCTGAAGTGTGCTTTTGGAGTTTCAGCTGGGAAGTTCTTGGGATTTATTGTTCGTCACAAAGGCATTGAGATAGAACAAGCCAAGATTGACGCTATCGTGAATATGCCTGAGCCTCGGAACATTCATGAGTTGAAGAGTTTGAAAGGGAAATTGGCTTATATACGAAGGTTCATCTCGAACTTATCGGGAAGATGTCAGCCGTTTAGTCGAATTATGAAGAAAGGTGTGCCTTTCATATGGGACCAATCATGTCAGAATGCGTTTGATAATATCAAGGCTTATTTGATGAAACCACCAGTTTTAAATGCACCCGTTGCTGGCCGCCCTTTGATACTTTACATTGCAGCTCAAGAAAGGTCTGTGGGAGCTCTTTTAGCTCAAGAAAATGATAAAGGAAAGGAGAATGCCCTTTATTATTTAAGCAGAATGATGACTCCACATGAGTTGAGGTACTTGCCCATTGAGAAGTTGTGTTTAGCCCTCATATTTGCAATCAAGAAGCTCAAACACTACTTCGGGGCTCACACTATAAATCTAGTCTCTAGGGCGAATCCGCTGAAGTATGTGAGTCTAAGGTGGTTCTATCTGATCGTCTTGCTAGGTGGTACTTGATATTTCAACAGTTTGATATCGTCTATGTCTCACAAAAGTCTGTAAAAGGACAAGCTTTAGCAGATTTCCTGGCCGATCACCCTATCCCTGCTGAGTGGGAACTTTCCGATGATCTACCCGATGAAGATGTACTTATAATTGAAGTTTTGCCTCCTTGGAAGATGTATTTTGATGGTGCTGCACATAGAGAAGGAGCCGGAGCTGGTGTTGTCTTTGTTACACCCGAAGGTCAAGTTCTGTCCTATGCTTTCACGCTTATGGAACAATGCTCCAATAACGTCGCTGAGTATCAAGCACTCATCCTCGGACTTGAAATAGCTGTAGACATGAAGCAGACACGAGTTAATATCTATGGCGATTCAAAACTAATCATCAATCAAGTGCTTGGAATCTATGAAGTCAGAAAGCCTGAACTACATCCTTACAACAAATATGCAAGGGCACTCATTGGATGGCTTGGTGAAGTTACAATTGAACACGTACCAAGAAAAGAAAACAAGCAAGCTGATGCACTAGCAGGGTTAGCATCAAACATGGCACATCTTGACGATGAAACTCAAGTACGGGTATGTCAAAAATGGGCAATTCCTCCTTTCATCGGAGAAGATGGTGTAGCCGAAGAGATAATCGAGATGCCAACTACATCGGTTTATGATATTGAAAATGAAGATTGGAGACAGCCACTCATTGATTATTTTACAGATGGGAAGTTACCTGAAAATCCCCGCAAGAAAGTAGACCTAAAGAGGCGTTCACCACGTTTCATCTACTATAAGGATACACTTTATCGAAGATCTTTCGATGGTGTATTCCTTAGATGTTTGGGTGGAGATGAAGTCCTACAAGCAATGGAAGAGGCACATTCTGGAGTATGTGGAGCTCATCAGTCTGGTCCTAAATTGCACTTTCACATCAAGAGGATGGGATATTACTGGCCGACTATGGTGAAGGACTGCATGGATTATGCTCGGCGATGTCAAGCATGCCAATATCACGCAAATTTTATCCATCAAGCACCAGAACCATTACATCCGACAGTAGCATCATGGCCATTTGACGCTTGGGGACTTGATGTAGTTGGACCGATCACGCCTAGCTCATCAGGAGGGCATTCATACATACTAGCCGCTACTGATTATTTCTCAAAATGGGCTGAAGCAGTTGCATTGAAAGAGGTAAAGAAGGAAAATGTTGCTGATTTCATCCGAGTCCACATTATTTACCGCTTTGGCATTCCCCGATATATCTTGACAGACAATGGGAAACCTTTTGACAACAAGTTGATGGACAAGATATGCAAGTTGTTCGACTTCAAGCAACGAAAGTCCTCTATGTACTATGCTGCCGCCAACGGCCTCGCGGAAGCTTTCAATAAGACTCTCTGCAACCTGTTAAAGAAAGTAGTGTCAAGATTGAAGAAAGATTGGCACGAAAGAATGGAAGAAGCACTATGGGCATACAGAACGACTTATCGAACACCTACCCAAAGTACTCCATATTCTTTGGTGTATGGTACCGAAGCAGTTCTTCCCCTTGAGCGCCAAATACCATCTTTGAGGTTAGCTATTCAAGATGGGATCACTGATGAAGAAAACGTCAAGTTGCGGTTGACAGAACTCGAGGCACTTGATGAAAAGAGGTTAGAAGCTCAGCAGAACCTAGAATGCTATCAAGCACGTTTGTCAAGATCTTTTAACAAGAGAGTTAGAGTTCGTTCTTTCCAAGTTGGTGATAAAGTTCTAGCTGTGCGAAGACCTATCATTATTACAAGGAAAACTGGACACAAGTTCTCGCCTAAATGGGATGGTCCTTATGTTGTTCAAGAAGTATATTCAGGCGGTGCCTACAAGTTGGTCGACGCAGATGGCTCAAAGATTGGCCCGATCAACGGGAGATTCCTAAAGCTCTACTACCCTTGATATTTGGGGTATGCATATGGCCATAGGAAATGTTGAATGGCTTAAACCACCAATGATGTTGTAAGTGGCTAAACTGTTAAAACATCTCACTTTGTCTATGGGTGAGCATAATCATAGATACTCTTGGCCCACGAGAGTTTAAAATGTGTACGGCAAGCTCCTGGCCCGCATGAGTTAAAACTGTGTACGGCACCCCGTCCCTCTAAATTACCTATTCAAATGGTACTATGAACTACGTTTGACTTGATCTCCTTCATAGGAGTACGTAGGCAGCTCAAAAGTTTCATTTTTGAGTTCAGTTATAACAATACAAACCCCAATAAAGTTTGATCTTGGTCAAAAAAAAAATGGAAAGTAAGACGATATCAACTCATGAGGAGCAAGAAATCAATCAAATATATATACATATATAGTTTGATGGAAAGAAAAGAAGGAAAGTGTTAGCTGACTAAAAGCTAATCTATAAACAAGTAAAAACAAACTCAGCCTAAAAACAATTTAAAGCTGACTAAGTTATCCTTCAAAGCCTCTAGCTCCTTCTTCTGGGTACTTAAAGCAAGTTGATCTTCGTCTGATGCTTTGATAGTCTTCAAAATCCGTGAAGATTCCTCCTTGGCCTTCGTAAGAGCTGCATCCAAGTCATTAGCCTCTGCATGACGCTGGGAAATCAAAACTTCTACTTCCTTAGCTTCAGCTTCCAATAAGGCTATCTTCTTCTTGATTTCATTAAGAGATTTCTCATCATCAAGTAATGCGACTTGATTTTGAGATCTCTTAGCTTCAATATCTGCACAAAAAGCTTGTGACATAGCCAATTCCCGAGACTGCTTCTCCGTAGGGACCCTGTCAGCAATAGTCGAGCACTTTTGATCAAATGCTTGTGCTCTTTCAAAAAAAATTTCCACTCTTGTCTTCAACACGGAAAGGTCAATACCGTCCTTCTCCATCAGGATAACACAACTCTGAACATCCTCTCGAAGAGAAGAGACGTTCTCTGCTGTAGCCTTTTCTAACTTCTTTTGAATACCGCCCCAAGTTTCAATGAGGAACCGCTTATACAAAGTAAAGAAGTAGTTCTCTCCTTGAAAACGGATACAGCCGGTTTCACATGAGGGGATTTCGGTATCTCGTTGGTTGGAACTTCTTTGCAATTACTTGGGGCACCTTTTGCCATCAACCCCGCAATGGTGTCATGATCATCAGTTTCTCCTTCACTTGAGCTAGATGAAGAAACATGATTTGAAGAACTAGCATCATCAAGGATTGGATGAATCTGCAAAAGAAGGAAGAAAATATAAGTCCAGGCTTGAGGTTAAATTAGATTATTAAATAATGAAACTAACCCTCAGTGGCCCAGGATGAGGTTTTCTCTGAAGATGCTTCCAATTCCTATCATCATTACTCTGCTTCTCAAGAACTTGATTCTCATTCGCCTTGGCAGGAAGTGTTTCTTTCTCAGCATCCTTGATCAAAACTTCAGCCCTAGGTGCTGCAAGCTTAGCCTTTTTCTGGGGCAAAGACTTAGCTTCAATATCAGGTACCTTCTTATTCTTCTTGGAGAGTGGAGTCACGGGATCCGAAGGGGCAATCACATCGCCAACGACAAGATCACAAATCCTAATTAAGTCATTCACATGATTCTCGAGATAGCTACCATGAACTTGGCTCCACCATTTTTTATATTCCAAGGAATAATACTTTGCTGGAATAGTCGGAGGAGTCGGAAACATTGCTTTCGCCCCAGACATGCCATGCTCAAACTGCAGCCAAAACCGAGATCCATCGGAAAGTGTAACACGTCGGTTATGCCTCTCAAGAAGACCAGGCGCATAAGCTTGAAAGTACCCGAACTGGCGATTAAAGCGATGAGGAGTGTAAGGCTCGGTAATACAATGATTTTGATGGCGTAATATGAGGTGATTAGACCGAAGACTCCTAAAAAGTGCCAACTCAACCTCCGGGGGATTATCTCCATCAAAGAATGTATACTCTTTCATTCTCCGATGCGTAGAACACACCCATGCTGATACATCTCCTTGGAAAATTCTCTTGCGTGCAGCTCTCTTTTCAAGGGATCTCGCTCCACCTTCTCCCGAATAAGAAATCATCGATGGCGTCGTAGACTGAATCTCATTCTTAAAATGTGTATCAAAGTATGATGCCAACCACCCATAAACATAGTGAGCAGGAAAACACGTTCTAACTTGATAAGGAGTTGGAGCATTCGAGATCTGATTGAGCCCATGATAAATACTAGCAAGAACTGGGACTGCAAGACATATCCGCTTCCCTTGAGCCATCATGCAAGCAACTTTAAAAGTTTCTGGGCGAATAGCTCTAGGACCTTCATGCGGCAAGACAAATACACAAAGCCAACATGATAAAAATGACGCCAAATAGATTTCTTCCTTATACTCAGCAGGAATCTTCAAAACATCAAAAGGTACCCTCGTAGAAGTCGACCACCCTCCAAATTTTGGAATAGCTCCGCTCGGATTATGGGTCGCCTTAGCACGAGATGTTCGTTTCTTTTCGGTTCTCAATGGAGGCATGGTATATTTGGGGGCCTTTTTGAACCAGAATTTGACCCACGAATGGACACGCAAAACACATTTATCTTCGGTTTTCGGAAGAAGAAGGTGATATGCGTGAACCAAGTATTTGCAGAGCTGAAGTGAACGGTCATTGCTCTTATTTAACAAATCGGAGGCACCGGGAATAGATTCATCATATACATCTCCTATGATAGGCAATCCTCCAATAACGTGCAAGTCCCAAAGCGTGATCGTCAATTCGCCAATTGGCGTAAGCAAAGTATTCGTTGTCGGACACCACGCCTCGCAGAATGCTTGCATGGCATTCGTACACCGATCATACGTGAACAAAGAGGCATAAATGGCATCATAAATAAGTCCCTCCTCCAGAACGTTTTTACTCAGACTCAAAACGTCTTCGGCCCAGTCCCAATAACCTGTGACGAATCTAAACTCGCCACCAAATGATAAGGACTTTGTCAAAGGGAGGTTTTCATCAATAATACGCCTACCCAAAGAAGGAAGAATCGCAGAAGATGGCTTGTGAGGAAAGCCAGATACTAAAGTCCGCATTGTTTGAGCTTGATACTCGCACTCAGGAGTCCAATCTGTGATCCGGTAGGAAACAACAGTTGCGCCCCAAAATTCACGAGCAAATGGCTTATACACCTCTAAGAGAATCTCATCGTCACTCTTCTTGCCCGTCGATACAGAGAGATACTTTTTGTTTCCACGCTTTATATCTCTAAACTGTATCATCTTGTACTGCAAAAAAAAGGGGGGGAAAGTCATTAATAATATTATTATTATTGTTATTGAAAAATAATAATACAATAAAATAATAATAATAATAATATTAAAAAAAAAAAAAAAGAGGCAACTCGGTGGTGGCAATTAATCTCAGACTCAGTCAATTGGCTTCAGGGAGAAAATATAGAAGAATCCAGTATGGCCACACTTTTTTTTCCTCATCATCTTGTTACGTCAAGACTCAAGAGCATTGCAGCCACGTGATGACATCAACAATCAACCAAACCTTTTCTTCTAAGGCGCAACGCCCAGCGGAGTGACGAATTCCTAACGGATTGTCACCATAGACCCCTCCTTGACTCGACCTCAAATTATATTGCTGCTCAATAACTCTGGACGGCAGCAACTCAGCCTGGTGGAATTAGTCTCAGATAGCAACAATGACATCAGGGGCTCAGTTAATGGCAGTAAAGGTAGCTAAACCTTCATACATCAAGTCCTCCACATTATTTCTTCCACAAGTCTGCAGCAGCGGTATTGAATCAGTCTCCAATCACCAGCAATGGCCTCATTATCTTCTCCGGCTACAACATGGCAACCTGCTTAGGGACCGTCACCTTCAGTGTTTTCTTCTTTGGGCAGCTTGCTATAGGTGGAATCCTTCATTGTTTTCGTCTTTGAACAGCTTGCTATGGATGGAATCCTTCATTGTTTTCTTCTTTGGGCAGCCTGCTATGGATTAAATCCTTCATTGTTTTCTTCTTTGGGCAGCCTGCTATGGATGGAACCCTTCATTGTTTTCTTCTTTGGGCAGCCTGCTATGGATGGAATCCTTCATTGTTTTCTTCTTCAGGCAGCCTGCTATGGATGGAATCCTTCATTATTTTCATCTTTGGGCAGCCTGCTATGGATGGAATCCTTCATTGTTTTCTTCTTTGGGAAGCCTGCTATGGATGGAATCCTTCATTATTTTCTTCTTTGGGAAGCCTGCTATGGAATGGGTTCCTTCATTGCCTTCTTCTTTAAACGAATTGACACCTTTTTGGCTAACGAGTAGTGACGGCAAGTTTGAACAAACAGGACAATGGCTTCTTCAAGTTTTGATAGTATCAACTGGCAATGAAATCCAAGCACCTGCTTCTGGACAATGACAAATCACGCTCTGCTTTAACCTTCTTGGTCCGGCTCTGAACAGCTGCATCAACAAAATTCCGGTTGACAAACCTCCGGACGAACTGGCAGGACCAACTGCAACAATTCTGGAAAGATTCTATTCTGCTCATCGTTTGAAGCTTAATTTGCGAACCAGCATCATCTCAAGCGGCAATAAATTAGCTCCGATCATCAACTACTGACACCAACCGGCAAAGGACCTCAATCGTTCTCCAGGTGGCCCCAACCTCAATTGTTGTTTAGCAGACATTTATCTCGTTCATGTATGGAAATCCTGCCATACGATTAAAGAAAAGATAGTTTAAAAAAAAAAAAAAAGATTATACCTGTTGAATTGTAGCCAAGCTCTTAGACGGGGAAGGAGAAAGTCTCCGTGCAATCACTGTTTCGCATATGCGGAGAAAGAAATATCGACTGATATTTATAGATGGTAAGCCGAAGATTTGGGATCCAATTAGTGCGATAGAATTGAAGTCCAATACTAAATTCTTTTTGAGTTAATCGACTTAGTATTTGATTCGTGTTTGGAAACATACCTGGAAAGAATTTCGCAGGTTATTCTTACGGCCTTTGGTAATTTTGGCAGAGTAGGATAAAGTGAGAGTTTCAGAATCAATTTGGACTCCTCTCCATTACTCTGTATAATTTAAATGACAACAGTGTTGAAATATTATTGAATTAGTCATCTTCCAACTATTCCTGATTAGGAATTATTATCACCATTATATAAATAATCAGGAAATCATAATTATGATTCTAGATGATAATTGTGTGGTTCACAATTATCCTCTAATCCTATGAAGCTTAGTTTTTCTCCTATAAATAGGAGGCTTCTCCATTGTAATTAACACACCATTACAACACTATTATCACACTTCTAATAATATCTTTCTCACTAAGTATTCAGACTATACTTTCTCTCCCTGATCTTCTGCTTATTTCCTTCCATTTTATAACACGTTATCAGCACGAATTTGCTCCAAATCCCTGAAATCACTATCTTCCTAGCAGGTATATACTTTCTGGAATTTATCAATTCACCTGAAAAGAAAAACAGAGGTTAAGAAGTATGACCATGCTTATATATATTCAAAACTATAAGAAGTATGCTCTATGGTTGCCCAAGAATAGGGATCCTCCATATCAGAAAATTATAGATATATTTTCTCTAAACAAAGATGAAGGAAAAAAGGATAAACAATTAAACATACATTTAATCAGTATTATTTTTAAATATACTACTCTTTGATTAAAATCTTAACTTTTACTTCCGGATATGATGAATTTACATCACGTACTGATTCTCAGTTATATATGTATATTATATGAATATATATACTTCGTATATGATAATATAATGTATGTGTATGGGGTATAACCAATTAAAACCATAAACATATAAAAGTATAAGGAGAGAACTCACTAATATGAGATCGGCTTATCTTGAATAACACTCTGGCCGTAGGTCTTCAACTATACGTCGTACATGCTTAAAGTGAGGAAAGGAGTTTAATAACCAAATTCTGTAGATAAATTTGTATAATATGTTTATCGACTCAAAGTTTAAATCTTTGTGATCGAAGACGTACTCCTGACCGGAACATACTAAGCTAAAACTAAATACGAGTATAAAATATGAAGTGAGACTGAATCGTTTACATCTATACTGATACACTAGAGGAAAAGAAGGAAGTATGGTGAGTGAACTCAAGAAAGAAAAATACTCTAATAAAAGAGAAAAGAAGCTCAGGCTCATAAAATGAGATAAGATAGCAGAAGAAATAATGAGTTCATAGACATATGTACATGCTATTAATTAAGATCACATGCCTATATGGGCTCCACTAAGCTATAATCAGACTCTTGTTTATTGAGAGTACATGCTCGCTCATGACAATATATGTATGTCTATATGTATGCATATGCTTACGGGCTCTGCGTTTTTTTTAATTTAGTTTGTAAACCGTCAAAAGTGAAATCAATTGGTAAATAATATACGGAGTAAATACTCCGTAATAGAGTAAGAAGAGTGGGACTATAATAATTGTATAAATCCAAATGCTTTAGCAGCATAGTCACGGGTGTACTAGTTAATGTACATACACATATTTTTTTCATGGGAACCACATTTTTTTTTTCAGATTAATGTTAAATGTATTGACTTATACTACGTATTACGTGATTCTTATTCACGAGGAGTGGATCTGTGGATCCAAAAGTATCATGGGCTGTTCCAAGCTCTTCCAAATTATTTACTACGTATCAGAAGTCGGTATTATTTATTTATAACAAGACAATAACAATAAATGCACTTATGCACCTCTAAACATGTAGGGAAGTCAATTATTTTCTTTTTGTCACCTCCAACATGTCTCTCGGCAAAAATAGCAATCACATATCTCCCAGTAATTCCCATTTATATGTATAATAACCTACTCTGTATTGCATATGATCATGCCTAGATGAAACTGAACTGGGAGTTTAACTTTGAAGTTTTTACTTTACTTTTGAATACAAATCACGTACTATAAAAAAAAAATTGACTATACACGTATCAATCTATAGAATACTAGTATATATATTTACTCTTACTAATTAAACTTAAATTCATAATTTATGTAGTTTAATGGCACATATTAGCAAAAGAGAGTTCGACGTCCTTGATTTATCTGGCCAAAAGTATTTGGAATGGAAAGTCGACGCTTTGGCACATTTGAAAGCAAATGCCCTTGAAAATACAATTGCTGAAAATAATTCAGCCACTCCCCAAAATAAGGCAAAAGCCATCATCTTTCTTCGTCATCATCTTCATGAAAGTTTGAAATCTGAGTATTTATTGATAGATGACCCTAAAGAATTATGGGATAATCTCCAAGAAAGGTATGGCCATCAACAAAAGGTCCTTTTACCAAAAGCTCAATATGACTGGATCAATTTACGATTCCAGGATTACATATCTGTAAGTGACTACAATTCTGCTTTGTTCCAAATAACATCAAAACTAAAGTTATGCGGACAAAAAGTCACTGATGCTGAAATGTTGGAGAAAACTTTGTCCACTATGCATGTTTCAAATGTGCTTTTACAAGAGCAATATAGACAAAAGCATTTTCAAAAGTATTCTGATTTGATATCAGTATTACTATTTGCTGAGACGAATACCGACATTTTGATGAGAAACCACAATATGAGACCCACGGGTTGTAGCCCGCTTAGTTTTGGTCCACCAAATCATGGTTCAAAACATGAATCAAATGCAACCCATAGTGGTGCTCGTGGACATTTCAAACGTGGTCGTGGTATTGGTCGTTATAATGGACCTAGCCGGGGAAACAAACAGAGTAGTAGCTCATTTTACAAAGGCAAGGGTAAGCAAAACCGCCATCAAACAAAGAGCCCGACGAAATCTTCAGAAAAGGCCAAAGTCACTTGCTTTAAGTGTGGCACGTCGGGACATTGGGCAAATAAGTGTCGTACACCTAGACACTTGATTGATTTATATAAATCATCTCTAAAAGGAAAGAATGTGGAAACTAATTACGTCAACGAAAATGATCCACGAATGCCCACATTCAATGTGTCTGATTTCTATATGGACGATAATGAGATGAACACCGACATCATTATGGGTGAAAAATAATAAATAAGTAAATAAAAATGAATTTGAAATAATTCTGTTATGTAATATATTCTACAATAAAAGTTTGTTTGTATTGTAATTTTTATTTGGTGTGCTTATTTCGATTGTAAATGTTATGTACATTTTAATGAATAAAGCCTTGTTTATATTACAGTATTGAGCTAATATTTGTTCATTTTTATCTTTTCGAAGATATGGAGTTAACTAAAATTTCTCCAAGTGGCTCTGAACAATGTCTAATAGACAGTGCCACAACGCACACCATTTTGAGACATAGAGATTATTTTTCTCATATGACATTAGTTGATGCTAATGTCAATACAATCTCAGGTGTTGCTAAACTCATTGAAGGTTCTGGAATAGCCTGTGTGATTCTCCCAAAAGGGACAAAATTAATAATTAAAGACGCTTTATACTCTAGTAAATCACGGAGAAATCTTTTGAGCTTTAAAGATTTGCGTCTAAATGGTTTTCATATTGAAACCATGTCTGAAAATCAGAAGGAATATTTATGTCTAACGACAAATAGATCTGGCAATAAATACATTTCTGAAAAAATGCCAGCATATTCCTCGGGACTGTATTATACATATATCAGTCCAATTGAGATAAATGTGGTATCTACAATTTATGACCACAATTCCTTTATCTTGTGGCATGACCGTTTAGGTCATCCAGGCAGCACTATGATGCACAAAATTATTGAAAATTCACGTGGACATTCATTAACTAATGTCAAGATTCCACAATGAAGTGATTTTCCGTGCACTGCCTGTTCTCTTGGCAAATTAATTATCAGGCCATCTTTATACAAAATTGGAGTTGAATCTCCTGCATTTTTAGAAAGAATTCAAGGAGATATTTGTGGGCCAATTACCCCTCCGTGTGGACCGTTTCGATATTTTATGGTGCTCATTGATGCATCAACACGTTGGTCACATGTCAGTCTTTTATCGACTAGAAATTTTGCATTTGCAAATCTCCTTGCTCAAATTATTCGTTTGAGATCACAATTTCCGGATTATTCGATAAAGAAAATCCGACTTGATAATGCAGGAGAATTTACATCCCAATCTTTTAATGACTATTGCATGTCAATTGGGATTGATGTGGAACATCCAGTTCCACATGTACATACACAAAATGGTCTTGCCGAATCCTTAATTAAGCGATTACAATTAATTGCTAGACCATTATTGATGAAATCCAGATTACCATCATCTGCATGGGGATATGCTATAATGCATGCTGCAAATTTAATTCGGCTTAGGCCAACGGCATATCATAAATTTTCCCCATTACAATTAATATCTGGTAAAGAACCAAATATATCACACCTAAAAATATTTGGTTGTTCTGTGTATGTACCAATTGCTCCACCTTATCGTACTAAAATGGGTCCTCAAAGAAGGCTGGGAATTTATGTTGGTTTTAAATCACCCTCAATTATTAATTATCTAGAACCTATGACCGGTGACTTATTCACCGCGCAGTTCGATGACTGTCATTTTGATGAGACAGTATTCCCAGCCTTAGGGGGAGATATTAAAGAAATGGACCCACGTACGAAAGATATTACTTGGAATGCAACAAATTTATCTTTTCTTGATTCTCGCACAAATGCTTGTGAACAAGAAATTCAAAAGATTATTCATTTACAAAATGTTGCAAACCAATTGCCTGATGCTTTCACAGACTCAAAGAAAGTGACAAAGTCACATGTTCCAGCTATGAATGCTCCTTCTCGAATAGAAATTCCTGCGGAGATTAGCGAAAGAACACTTGCTAATGAATCTATGATACGTAAAAAACGCGGTAGACCACTTGGTTCAAGAGATTTGAAACCAAGAAAATTTAAACAGCAAGTTGTAGTTTGTGATGCCAAAGAAGTTCAACCTTCTCAAGAAGAAAATGAACATTTTGAAAATATCGGCCTTGAAGATAACATCAATAATAATGATACCTCAAAAGAGGATCCAATCACCTTCGAAGAGGTAAATATTCCAGATAAAGATAGAAACGTCGATAATTTCGAAATTTCAATTAATTACGTTTCTAATGGAATACAATGGAATAGAAATGATATTGATGTTAATGATATATTTTCATATGCCATCGCCACAGATATAATGAATGAACACGATGACAATGAGCCTAAATCTATTGACGAATGTCGTCGTAGAAATGATTGGCCAAAATGGAATGAAGCAATTCAGGTAGAATTAAAATCGCTACAAAAGCGTAATGTTTTTGGACCAATTGTCCATACGCCAAAAGGCGTAAAACCTGTCGGTTTTAAATGGGTTTTTGTGCGTAAACGCAACGAGAAAAATGAAATCGTTAGATACAAAGCCCGACTTGTTGCCCAAGGTTTTTCTCAAATGCCAGGATCGATTATGATGAGACGTATTCTCCAGTAGTTGATGCTACAACTTTAAGATTTTTAATTGGCATGTCTGTTTTTGAAAGGCTGCAAATGCGCCTAATGGATGTGGTGACCGCATATTTATACGGTTCACTCGATACAGACATATATATGAGAATTCCTGGAGGCTTTAAAATACCTGATGCTTATAGCTCGAAATCTCGAGAATTATTTTCCATAAAATTGCAAAAGTCATTATATGGATTAAAACAATCTGGACGCATGTGGTATAACCGTCTCAGTGAATATTTGATTAAAGAAGGGTATAAAAATGATCCTATTAGTCCATGTGTTTTCATTCAGCGATCCGAATCAGGATTCGCCATAATTGCAGTATATGTTGATGATTTGAATATAATCGGAACTCCTAATGAAATTGAAAATACTGCAAAATATCTCATGAAAGAATTTGAAATGAAAGACCTTGGGAGAACAAAATTTTGTCTCGGCATTCAAATTGAACATTTGAGAAATGGTATTTTCATCCACCAATCAAATTATACCGAGAAACTTTTGAAGCGATTTTACATGGATAAAGCACATCCGCTCAATTCTCCAATGGTGGTTCGATCTCTCAATGTGCATGATGATCCTTTCCGACCTTGTGAAGATGATGAAGAAATCCTTGGTCCCGAAATACCATATTTGAGTGCTATTGGAGCATTAATGTATTTGGCTAATAATACTCGACCAGATATTGCTTTTTCTGTAAATTTATTAGCCAGGTACAGTTCTTCCCCAACAAGAAGGCATTGGAATGGTGTCAAACATATATTCCGATATCTCAATGGTACAATCGATCTTGGATTGTATTTCAAGAATGGTGCAAATGCCACTTTAATTGGCTACGCGGATGCAGGATACTTGTCTGATCCACAAAAGGCAAAATCACAAACAGGATATTTATTCACCTATGGTGATACCGCTATATCATGTAGATCAATGAAGCAAACATTAACTGCAACATCATCAAATCATGCAGAATTAATTGCTCTTTATGAAGCAGGTCGTGAGTGTGTCTGGTTGAGATCAATGATCCAGCACATACAAAATGAATGCGGTATAAAATCTTTTACTTCTAATCCTACTGTGATTTATGAAGATAATACAGCATGTATAGCTCAGATCAAAGGAGGTTACATCAAAGGGGACAGAACAAAGCATATAGCACCAAAACTTTTCTCCACACATGATCTTGAGAAAGACGGAACGGTTGATGTCAAACAAATCAAGTCATGCGACAACCCTGCTGATTTGTTCACAAAGTCATTGGCACCGAAGAAATTTGAAGAACTGGTCCATAAAATTGGAATGTATCGTCTTCGAGATATATGTTAAATTGAGGGGGAGTAATATAATGCACTGCACTCTTTTTCCCTTCGTCAGGTTTTTATCCCACTGGGTTTTTCTTGACAAAGGTTTTTAACGAGACAGTACATTATAATACTCTGAAACTAATACCCCAGAATAATTAGAAGATGACCATTCAAGGGGGAGTGTTGAAATATTATTGAATTAGTCATCTTCCAACTATTCCTGATTAGGAATTATTATCACCATTATATAAATAATCAGGAAATCATAATTATGATTCTAGATGATAATTGTGTGGTTCACAATTATCCTCTAATCCTATGAAGCTTAGTTTTTCTCCTATAAATAGGAGGCTTCTTCATTGTAATTAACACACCATTACAACACTATTATCACACTTCTAATAACATCTTTCTCACTAAGTATTCAGACTATACTTTCTCTCCCTGATCTTCTGCTTATTTCCTTCCATTTTATAACAAACAGGACTTTTTTGAGCTATTCGAATTATTGGTTGAAGAGGAAATTGGCCAGTAAGAGTCCAACTAGAATTCTCCAATTTAATGACCGTAGGTGGAATTGAATGTACTCCTTGGGTGAGTTTAATTCTTGGTCATAAACTTTGAAAGTTTTGGGCCTGCTTGGTTAAAGCCTAAAAGTGATGATTACGTCTTAAATCAATAAGTGATTTCGGTCAACGTATATCAAGACTTACTTTTCACTCTTCTGAATATTCAAGCAAGTCTCGAGGGGGCATTTGTGGACATTAAAAAATATATTGGGTCAGTCGTGATGATCATTGGGTCTCTCACAATGCTACAGGGCTATTTCGACTTTATCGGGTCTCTTTTAAATTTATTTGGGCCAACGTCGGATTCTACTGGGCTGCTCGTGATGGTTGTTGGGCCTGATAAAAAAGAAAATAATAACATGGGTTTATTCAGATATAATTTAGTGATTAAATTAATTTGGATCACTCGGATATAATTATAGATTAAATCTTTAAAAGAATGGACCGGTCCTATTAATTTTGAGCCCATTGTCAAATAGCGGCCCGATATATAGGAGATGTGATCCAATTGATAAAGAGGGCAACGAATTTGGCTAAGAAATCCTTCCATATGCATGGAAAATGGCTATGAACCTCGTTAGAAAAGCTGTCCAAATACATTGCATAAATG